GGTCGGACGACTTCGGGCGTGGCATAACATCACCGCCCTTGGGCAGCACACACGGTCGGCAATGTCAGGCGTGGCATGACATCACCGCCTTTGGACCGCACACACGGTCGAACGATGTCTGGCGTGGCATGCCATCACCGCCTTTGCACAGCATACACAGTCGAACGACATCGAGCGTGGCATGACATCACCGCCCTTGGACTGCACGCACGGTTGAACGACGTCGGGCGTAGCAGTAAATTACCGCCCTTGGACTACACACATGGTCGGATAATGTCGGGCGTGGAATGATATCACCGCCCTTGGACTGCACACACGGTCGGCAACATTGGGTGTGGCATGACATCACTGCCTTTGGACAGCATATACGGTTGAACGACGTCGGGCGTGGCATGCCATAATCTTCTAAGAGTGCACGCACGGTCTGACGACTTCAGGCGTGGCATGAAATCACCGCCCTTGGATGGCACATACGCTTGGGCGTGGCATGCAATCACCGCCTTTGGGTAGCACACACGGTCGAACGACGTCGGGCGTGTAATACCATCATCGTATTTGGGCAGCACAAATGGTCAAACAACGTCGGGCGTGGCATGACATCACTGCCCTAAGACTGCACGCACGGTCCGACGAAGTCGGGCGTTGCATGACATAACCACCCTTGGACAACACACGATCGAACGACGTCGGGCGTGGCGTGACATCACCGCCCTTGGACGGCATGCACGGTCGGCTGACGTCAGGTATGGCATGACATCATCGTCTTTGGACAGCACACACGGTAGAAAGACGTCGGGTGTTACATGCCATCACCGCCTTTGGGCAGCACACACAGTCAAACGACGTCGGGTGTGGCTTGACATCACCGCCTTTGGACAGCACACACGGTCGAACGACGTCAGGTGTGACATTCCATCACCGCCTTTAGACAGCACACACGGTCGAAGGATGTCGGGTGTGGCATGCCATCATTGCATTTGGGCAGCACACATGGTCGAACGACGTCGGGCGTAGCATGCCATCATCGCCTTTAGGCAGCACAAACGGTCGAACGACATCGAGCATGGCATGACATCACCGCCCTTGGACTGCATGCACGGTCAAATGACGTTGGGCGTTGCATGACATCACCGCTTTTGGACTGCACGCACGGTCGGACGACGTTCGACATGGCATGACATCACCGCCCTTAGACAACACACATGTTGAACGATGTCGCGCGTAGCAGTACATTACCGCCCTTGGACTACACACACGGTTGGACGACGTTGGGCATGGCATGACATCTTCGCCCTTAGACTACACACACGGTCGATAACGTTGGGCGTGGCATGACATCACCGCCTTGGGACAGCACACACGGTCGAACGATGTTTGGCGTGGCATGCCATCATAGCCCTTTGTCACAGACATTTTGATTCGGACAATACTCCGTGCGGCACTTGACGGTTTACTCACGATTCTTGCACGTTCTTGCAAACTCAAGTATGCCTAAAACTCGGATCGCTAAGAAAATAAGAAGTAGACAGAATTTTGGAAGAAGGAACTTCTATTACTTGAAAAATGATTTGATGCTTTACAAGTCAAATGAACTACTATTTATACTACTCTAATGCCTAAGAGATAGTAAATGCTACACTATAAAAGTTCCTAAGACTATGCCTACAAGACAAGCTTCTAAGTCTTCTAAAAAGGACTCCTAGATGCTCCTAGTCTGCCCCATGATATGCACAAGCCTTCCAAAGGCTTGAAACTCCTGAAACTGCCGCCCCACTACCAAGTGTAACAACTGTAACAGTTGTAACTGCCGTAACAGCTGAAACTTCTAACGGCTGTCTCTTCACCTGCTGCTGGCCCCCTTGGTTGCTGGCCTGCATGGTCAGCCTGCCCCCTTGCGCCTGTTGGCTGCCTAGTTGGGTGGCGGTTAGCCTGAATGGATGGCAGGACGTCACAATCTCCCCCACCCCATGATGCAACGACCGCGACGCATTGCTGCAAGAACTCCTGAATTTTGTCTTTGAACTGCCACAGGTCTTCGTACTTCTCCCAAGTGGCTTCTTCTGGAGTTTGTCCCTTCCAATGTACGAGAAACATGGCAATGGCCTGCTGCCCTCGTTTCCGCTTGGCTTGGTAATCTATGATAGCTTCAATTTCACGATCATGCGAGGCAGTAATGGTGATTGGGGCCCATTGTGATTTGTTCTGGCTGGGATCGTCCGTATCCTCATGATAAGGCTTAAGGACGCTTGCATGAAAGACCGGGTGGATCTTTAAGTGTGGAGGTAACTCCAACTTGTATGAAATTTTACCCACCTTGGCAATAATTTTGAACAGACCCTCATATTTCCGCACCAAATTGTGATGCATGCCTCTAAGTGCCTTAAACTGCCTCAGATTAAACTTTACCAAAACCATATCACCTTCTTTGTAGTTGGTGGGACGACTCTTGCGGTCGACGAACTTCTTCATCCTCCTTGCCGCCTTGCTCAAATAAGATTTTGCAAGGTCGAGTTGCTCTTCCCAATCCTTGGCAAGGTTGTAAGCGCCCAAACTCTTCCCCTCGAACAAGGTTGGCAGTGAATGCGGAGTTTGGGGTTGCTGTCCTGTTGCTAACTCGAACGGTGTGCGCCCTGTAGATTCACTTCTCTGCAAATTATAAGAAAATTGCGCCATGTCTAGGAGCTTAGCCCAATCTTTCTGATGTGCACTGACATAGTGCCTAAGATAGCATTCCAAGAAGGAGTTGACGCGTTCAGTTTGGCCATCAGTTTGGGGGTGGAAACTGGTGGAGAAATGAAGTTTTGAACCAAGAATCTCGAAGAGTTCACTCCAAAAGTTCCCTGTGAAACGAGGATCCCGATAACTAATGATGAACCTCGGCAGCCCCCAATACTTCACAACATTTTTAAGAACAATTGTGCAGCTTCCTTAGCAGTACAACCGGCTGTGGCAGGCATGAATGTAGCATATTTGGAAAATCTATCCACTACGACCATAATAGTGCCAAACCCGTTTGACTTCGGCAAAGAAGTAATGAAATCCATAGATATACTCTCCCATGGATGATCAGCTATGGGTAATGGCTCCAACAGCCCTCCTGGTTGCCTTTGCTCTACCTTGTCTTGCTGGCACTCTAGACAAGTCTGCACATACTGCTCGATATTTTCCCGCATACGTGGCCAAAAATAGAAAGCCTCCACTAATGCCCTCGTTCTCTTCTGTCCCGGATGCCCAACCCATGGAGTGTCGTGGCGTTCTTTGATAATACGCCGCCTAATGAATCCGAACTTTGGTCCATAAATCCTCCGGCCAATGGTAAGCAAGAATCCGTGTTCTACCCAAAACAGTTTGGTTTGGCCTTGTGCTGCCAGCTGCATAATCTTCTTGGCTTCTGGATCGCGTAGCATACCATCTTTTATTGCGCCTTGGAACTCACAACGGATTGAGGAGATGGCAACTAAAGTATTTCTGCTCAATGCATCAGCTACCACATTGCCCCTTCCGGGTTTGTACTCCAAGTTGTAGTCGAATTCCTTTAAGAAATCCTTCCAACGAGCCTGCTTTGGAGTGATCTTCTTTTGTGATTGAAAATAGCTTGTGGCAACGTTGTCGGTCTTTACTACGAACTTGGAGCCTAGTAGATAATGCCTCCATGTGCGTAGACAATGTACGATGGCCGTCATCTCCTTCTCCTGCATAGTGTACCGTCGTTCCGCTTCATTCAGCTTCCGGCTTTCAAAAGCTATGGGGTGCTTCTCCTGCATTAAGACTCCCCCAATGGAAAAGTCAGAAGCATCCGTATGGATCTCGAAGGTCTTGGTGAAGTCAGGCAGCATCAGGACTGGTTCCTCAATAACTGCAGCCTTTAGACCTTCAAACGCTTCTTCGTACTCCTCGCTCCACAGCCAAGGCCTGTTCTTCTTCAGCAGCTCGGTCAGTGGGGCAGCAATAGCGGAGTATCCGCTAATGAACCTACGATAATAATTAGCAAGTCCAAGAAAAGAACGTAGCTCGGTCACCTTCGTAGGCGCTTCCCAATCTTGGATCGCCTTTACCTTGGCCTCATCCATACGAAGCTCACCTTTACTGATCACATGGCTTAAGAAATGTATCTTTGGTTGGGCGAACTCGCACTTCTCCCGCTTGACATAAAGCTGATTCTCCCGCAAGACTTTGAAGACCTTCTTCAAGTGTTCAACATGTTCTTGCAAAGTGCTACTATAGACGACTATGTCATCTAAGTACACTACTACGAACTGGTCCAAGTAGGGGTGAAAAATCTCGTTCATCAGCGTGCAAAATGTGGAAGGTGCGTTGGTTAAGCCGAAGGGCATCACCAACCATTCGAATGCTCCATACCTGGTCACGCATGCTGTCTTTGGCTCATCCCCTTCTGCAATGCGCACTTGATAGTAGCCTTTCCGGAGATCCATCTTGGTAAAATACTTGGCCTCTCCAAGTCGATCAAACAAATCTGCGATCAGCGGGATTGGATACTTGTTCTGAATTGTGATCTTGTTGAGCGCCCTGTAGTCAATGCATAGACGCATCGACCCGTCTTTCTTCTTCTGAAACAGCACCGGCGCTCCATAGGGTGCCTTGGATGGACGAATAAGACCTGCTTTGAGGAGCTATTTCAATTGCTTCCTAAGTTCTTCTAACTCAGGCGGAGCCATCGATAAGGTGCAAGTGCAGGTGGCTTGGCTCCCACCTCTAGCTCGATCATGTGGTCTACCTCACGCCTTGGAGGTAGAGTTTTTGGCAGCTCCTCCGGCATCACGTCACTCGTTTCCTGCAAAATAGATTCTATGATGGGTGGCAGTGGCTCCATAGCACCATGGTCTTCACTCGAACTTGCGATGGTGGCTAAGAAGGTTGGTGCTCCTTTCTTCAGGCCCTTCACAATCTGCATGGCTGACAGTTGGGCATATCCGTCTTTCTTCGGCACCCTAACAAGAGGCACCATACAAGACCCTTCCCCCCTCCATCACCAAGAGTTGTTAAAGGTAGGGATCAATCATCGTGTGGCAACGTTGAAAGAATTCCTGCCCAAGAATAACATCGGATATGTCCAAGGGAGCTACGGTAAAGTTTGTCTTACCTCTCCACCGTCCTAAAGTGATTCTAACCCCATGAGCAATTCCACACACGGGAGTTGGTGGGGCATTGACCGTCTTGAGGCGATTGTTGCTTGGAACAATTTTCAGTCCCAATTTTTCGGCCGCCGTCTTGGTCATAATGTTGGATTCAGCCCCAGAATCTACCATGGCCCGAACTGCTTGCCCATTGATGTAGATATCCACATATTGTTTACTGAAATCCCTCGGGTTGTCAGCCTGCTTTGCTATGGCACCACAGATTCCAACCATGCCCAACTGAGTGGTGTCTGCCGATTTCGCCTTGTCTTGTGCCTCCTTCTCCTTCTGCTCACGGACGATGGCACTAAGGCTCTTCATCTCTGGGCACCTAGCATAACCGTGAGGTCCGCCACATATGTAGCACCCGTCTCCTCTACTGGACTGCATCCGCTTCTCCGAGAATTTCCGGTGTTCAAACCGTCTGCCATCGGACTTGGGCGTGTCTTGCTGCTTGGGTTGTGCCGACTCTTCTCTGCCTCGGCCACGGTCTCCCCCGCCTTTATCTTGACTGCCCCTTGCCTCCTTGCCCTTTGCCTTGTCCAAACGATCATGTTTGAAATCTGTCAAGGTCTCGGCTTGAGTGATGGCCTCATCGATGGTTTTTACTTGACGCTGCTCTAACTCGGTCCTCGCCCAATTCTGCAGCCCGTCCATGAAGGTGAACAACATGTCATCTTCCATGAGTTGGGGAATTTGGAGGGTCAAAATTGTGAACTCCTTCACATATGCCCTAATGCTTCCCGTTTGCTTCAACTACCGGAGTTTGCGCTTCATCTCATAAACAATATTATTGGGGAAGAAAGCTTTCTTGAATTCCTCAAGGAATTGTTCCCATGTGTCGATGGTGCGTGTGCCCCTCTTGATGTCAGCATCTTTGCGTTTCCACCACAACATGGCTACGTCAGAAAGATAAAACGCGGCAGTGTTGATCTTGTTTGCATCGCTCCTGACCCGATTACATCTGAAATAATTTTCCAAGTGCCAAAGGAAATTGCGTACCTCTAGGGCATCACGGACACCCTTGAATGTCGGTGGCTTGGGAACCTCGACTCTGGACTCCCTTTCCTGGCCAAGTGATGTTGTTGCTCCAACCTCCCTCTCTTCTTCGAGGGCCTCAACCTTGTTCTTCAGCGTCTGGATCGTCGTAAGGGCGTCCATGAACCTGAACTCCAAGGAAGTAATGGTTTCCTTCATCTCTAATTCAGACCGCTTGCGTAGATCCAACTCCTTCTGAATGGCTTCAACTTCCTCAAGGGAGTTCTCTTCAAGGTCTTTGACATCGCTGTCCAACCCATTCAAGCGCTGGCCTAAAATCTCAACAGTTGGCCTTGCCCTTTCAACGCTGGCAAGCCATTCATGTCCCACAGTGACGTCGATAGTTTCTTCGCTGTCATCGCCGTCACTCTCATCGACAACATTATGCTGGAAAGATGTTGGTCCGTCGCTTGGTGGAGGAACATTTGATGGTAACTCATCTGTTGGAAGACCGCCTGGTGGCAGACTGCCATGGCTGGCCGCCTGGTGGCAGACTGCCTGAGGGCTGGCCGCCTGGTGGCAGACTGCCTGATCGCTGACCACCTGGTGGTAGACTGCCTGATGGAAGATTTGTTGGTGGTGGATTAGTAGGTGGAAGATCGGGCAGAATAGGCAGATTGGGATCATTTCCCTTTTGCTGCTGCTTCTTCCCTTTCTTGTTCTTCTTTCCCACCTGAATGTTGGGGGTGTTGCTAGCGTCGCTTCCGTCTCCTTCGTTCGTCATTCTCTTACGATGAACCTGCTCTAATACCAATTGTCACAGACTTTTTGATTCGGACAATACTCCGTGCGACACTTGACGGTTTACTCACGATTCTTGCACGTTCTTGCAAACTCAAGTAAGCCTAAAACTCGGATCGCTAAGAAAATAAGAAGTAGACAGAAATTTGGAAGAAGGAACTTCTATTACTTGAAAAATGATTGGATGCTTTACAAGTAAAATGAACTACTATTTATAATACTCTAATGCCTAAGAGATAGTAAATGCTACACTATACAAGTTCCTAAGAGTATGCCTACAAGACAAGCTTCTAAGTCTTCCAAAAAGGACTCCTAGATGCTTCTAGTCTGCCCCATGATCTGCACAAGCCTCCCAAAGGCTTGAAACTCCTGAAACTGCCGCCCCACTACCAAGTGTAACAGTTGTAACGGCTGTAACTGCCGTAACAGCTGAAACTGTTGTAACGGCTGTCTCTTCACCTGCTGCTGGCCCGCATGGTCAGCCTGCCCCCTTGCGCCTGATGCGCCTCCTGGCTGCCTAGTTGGGTGGCGTTCAGCCTAAATGGATGGCGGGACGTCACACCTTGGACGACAAACACGGTCGAATGACGTCACGCCCGACATGCCATCCCCGCCTTTGGACATCACACACATTGGTACGATGTTGGGCGTTGCATGCCATTATCGCCTTTGGGCAGCACACACGATCGAAAAACATCCGGCGTGGCATGATATCACCGCCTTTTGACAGCACACACGGTCGAACGACATCGAGCGTGACATGCCATCACCGTCGGTGGACAGCACACACGGTCAAACGACATCGGGCGTGGCATGCCATCATCACCTTTGGGCAGCACACACGGTCCAACGACGTTTCATGTGGCATGCCATCATAGCCCTTGAACGGCAAACACGATCAAACGACGTCAGGCATGATATGCTATTACCGCCTTTGGAAAGTAGAAACGGTTGAACAACATCGTACGTGGCATGCCATCATCGCCTTTGGGCAGCACACACGGTCAAACAACATCGGGCGTGGCATGACATCACCGCCTTTGGACATCACACACGGTCGAACGACGTTGGGCGTGACATGCAATCACCGCCTTGTGACAGCACACACGATTGAACGACATCAGGAGTGACGCCTTTGGACAGCACAAACGGTCGAACGACATCGGGTCTGGCATGCCATCATCGCCTTTTGGCAGCACAGACAGTCGAACGACGACGGGCGTGGTATGACATCACCGCTCTTGGACTACATGCACGGTCGACAACGTAGGGCGTGGCATGATCTCACCTCCCTTGGACAACACACACGGTTGGACGACGTCGGGCATGACATGCCTTCATCACCTTTAGACATCACATATGGTTGAACGACGTCAGGCGCGGCATGACATCAACGCCCTTGGAAAACACACACGGTCGAACGACATCGAGCATGGCATGACATCACCACCCTTGGACGACACGCACAGTAGGACAACGTCGGCCGTGGCATGACATCACCGCCTTTGGACAGCACACACAGTCAAACGACGTTGGGCGTGACATGCCATCATCGCGTTAGGGCAGCACAAACGGACTAACAACGTCAGGCGTGGCATGACGTTACCGCCCTTGGACAGCACACACGGTCAAACGATGTCGGGCGCGCATGCCATCACCGCCTTTGGACAGCACTTAAGGTTGAACGACGTCGGGCATGGCATGCCCTCATCGACTTTGGGCAGCACACACGGTCGAACGACGTCAGGCGTGGCATGCCATCTTCGTATTTGGGCAGCACAAACGATCAAATAACGTCGGGCGTGGCATGACATCACCGCCCTAAGACTGCACGCATGGTCCGACGATGTTAGGCGTGGCATGACATCACCGCCTTTGGACACCACACATGGTCGAACGACGTAGGGCGTGGCATGACATCATTGCCCTTGGACAGCACACACGATCGGCAACGTCTAGCGTGGCATGACATCACCACCCTTGGACATCACACACGGTCAGCAACGTCGGGTGTGGCATAACATCACCTCCCTTGAACAGCACACACGGTCGAACGACGTCGGGCTTGGCATGCCATCATCGCCTTTGGGCAGCACACACAGCTGAACGACGTCGGGTGTGGCAT